ATAGATGAAAGACAGATGGTAGAAGGATGACAGACAATAGATTAGATATAAGAGATAACAGATAGATAGATGATAGATAAATGATAGATCTATGTGAAAGAGATAGGTAATACAGTTAAATATATGATACGTAGAGATATATAGATGGTAGAAGATACATAATAAACTGCAAGATTTAGAAAATAGATGATAGATAGATAGATAGATGATAGATGATAGATAGACAGATAGATGATAGACAGATAGATGATAGATAGATAGATAGATAGATGATAGAGCGATAGACAGATGATAGATAGATAGATAGATAAATGATACATAGATACATACATGAGGTATGTATATAGGTAGGTAGGAGGATAGTGCTAAAGATATAGGCCACCTCAGTTACTGGGTGGCAAGTGCAATAGCGGGAACAAGAAAAGCCAAAACCTAATAAAACTTGCAGTAGCCCAGGCAAGAGATGCTGACAGCTTTGACAGGGCAAATAGTGAGAAAAGGGTTTTGCTATTTGTTTGTTTTTTAATATATTGGATAGACAACTGTGTGGATTAACTGAAACATTACAGGTGATTAGAGAAACAGAAGAATCAAGAATGCTTCTTAGCCATGGGGCCCAAGTAATTTATTTCTTGATGGTATCCTTACCTGAGATGTGGAGAGACAGTTCTTGACATCTGTTTATTAGCAATATGGCCTGGGTTCTTATTTCACTGGGCAGATGACCTGGGGGAGCATAAAAAGGGAAATGAAGGGAAGCCAAGCTCGGACTTCACTACCAACGGTGTGACCTGACAGAAGTCACTTAACCTTTCTGTGCCATAAGTATAACAAGGTTGAAAAATTAATAATCCCTGGTGTCTTTCACACAGTAAAATCCCTGTGTACCAACTCACTTCTCACCCTGCTGCTATTGAAAGATAGACTGATAGCTATTGCTTTTTTAACTGAAACGTCTAAGAAAGCAGAGACATGACATAGAACTGTGTGATTAGCTGCTGTGCTTAGTTATGACAAATCTATCTGCATTATACCAGCATGTAATGATTCTGTCGGCAGATACAACCTGTTCCTGTCCCTTTCATGAACTGTCACCACCATGTCTCCTCTTTATTCTATTAGTGACCCTCCATTTCACTTTTTGAAATTGCTTCCTTCCTGCCTGTTTCTCAGCTGCAGGATATTTTAAGACTCAAGCTAGATTATTTCATGACTGGCAATGTCAACTCCATTTTTGTTCACAGGGCTGGATCTTAAATTACTAAAAAATTTTTACAATAAAAAAGTCTTGTATCTATTTATTCTCCAAGTAAATTTCTATGTGTAATTAAATGACTATTAGGGGTCATATATAAGCATGCTATTGAAATAGAAAGACATCTATATAAAATTGATATGGATTGGAAAATCATAATTTTATGTGTAAATTGACCCTTTTTAATCATGTTAAATCATAGTTCAGCAGTTAAGAACACTGGCTGCTCAGTTCCCAGCACCCACATGGTAGCTAACAACCATCCATAACTCCAGTTCCAGAGGATCTGATGCCCTCTTCCTACTTCCTCGGGCATTGCGCAACATGGGTACACCAGCTATGTACAGGCAATACACTTATACACATAAAATAAAAGTAATAAATAAAATAGTTTAAAAATAATAACCAATGGTGACATGTTAAATTGCTCTCCCACAGGCCTCCTAAATCTTGAGGGATGACTATTTAAAAATAACTTAAAACTGGGGAAATATCCAGTTTTTAAATTACATGTAAGTTCTACCTCAGATTATCCATAAAAATATATTCCAGGTCAGTTAGAGAGAAAAATATAAAAAGCAAAAGTATAGCATAGAAAAGATGATAGAGTAACATTATAATAACTTTAGAAGTGAGGGAGCTGTATAATTAAAATACAAAACAAAATTTGCAGGGAATGAAATAGTTCAATCTATTTATTTATTTTATTTGTTTCTGGAACTCACCATGTAGGTCAAGCTGGCCTTGATGTCACAGAGATCCATCTGCCTTTGCCTCCTGTGTGCTGGGATTAAAGTCACATGCCACCACGCCCACCTGAAATGGCATATTTTACCAACTTATTAATGTTTTTACATAAAAAGACAGCATAAGGGGTTTGTTTTACAAAACGAAAAAAAAAATGGAAGGAAAAAATTGAATAGGTAGTATATAAAATAAATAACTCCTATAATTAAATAAGATAAAGTTAATCCATCCTATGGAAAAAATGCACATGATAACATGCAGTAGACAAAATATAAAATCCAGTAAACCCAGGAGAGAATATTAACTGGGTCTAAAGGAAATGTAAATAAAATACATATCATTTTCATGCATTAGATTGAAAAAGGTTTTGATGAAAATATCACTTCGGTGAAGGTATGTGAAAATGGATATTTTTGTGTACACTAGATGAATATGTAAAACATTAATAAATATATGGATGGGGCAGGACACGTGGCTCAGCAGTTAGGAGCACTTGCTCTTGGAAAGAAGGCAGTTCAGTTCCCAGCACACACATGGTGCTCACAACAGTCTATAATCCCAATTCCAGAGAATCTGACACAGCCTGATGCCCTCTGGGGGCACCAGGCATGCACATTATGTACATGCATGTATGCATTCAAACATTCAACATAAAAAAATAATAAATCTTTAAAAATACATTGATGGTAATTTGCATTTATGAATTTTTTAAAAAGAGAACAGATTTTGAGTCAAGCATGTTGGTTCGTTCACACTTTTACTTTCCAGCATTCAAGGGACTAAGGCAGGTGAATAGCAAATTTGAAGGCAGCCTAAACTACACAGCAAGGCTTGGTCTCAAAACAAAAATGAAAATAAAAACAAAAAACATACAACATACATTCTAGGTGCCCGTGAGATGGCTCAGCAGGTAAAAACAATTACTGCACAAGCATAGAAATCTGAGTGCCCTGGCCTGTGAGTATCCATCCCCTACACACACCATCATGTATATTCACATATACACACATTCCTTTCTGTCCAGTAATATATGGGTATCTTGATGCACAAAAGACATTAGCAAGGTTTTCTTCTGTGATATATATATATATATAGATAGATAGATAGATAGATTAGATAGATAGATGATAGATAGATGATAGATAGATAGATGATAGATGATAGATAGATAGATAGATAGATAGATAGATAGATAGATAGATAGATAGATTACAGAATGCGAGGTGATGTAAATACTATCAATAATTGAGTGACAATACAAACTATAGAAAAGCAGACAGTATTTTATAAGATACAAAAATTTCCACAAGACACAGCAAGTGTAAGGAGAATAGTGCAAGTCAATGTGTACAATACCATTTACACCTAAAAACACTCAATTCCCTTTTATATGTATACATGTATATGAAATATGTTTTAAGCTTCTTCAAAGATAGGAATCAGACTTCTAATCATTGTCAATATCAGAAATGAAAATGAGATTAAGGTATAGAGATGTAGTTACAGAAAAAGATTGTTCTTAATGATTTTGTCCAATTGTTTTACAGTTGGAACATATTTATGTATAACATGGAAATTAAATGCATACATAAAATAAGAATCTGGAAGAAATCTCCTTGGGTTTAAACCAGAGAAATAAGTTGTGGATTATACACTTAATCAAAAGGTCACATTCATGTGGGTTTTTCTTTCAGCCAACATACACACCATTTCAAATTACGACACAGATAAAATGTCTGTAATAGATGAGTATATATATGCATATATAGTCTAAATCAAATGCATATATAGACTTTTTCCAAACCAAATACATGTACATGTGTTTGTGTAAGTGTATTCCAAACCAAAAGCAAGTTATTAAAATACCACCATTCATCGCCATTTGTAAAACAGCAAAAACTTAAAAACTTAGCCTTAGACAAGAAACAACTATAAACAAAGATTTGGTTTTTTGTTTTTTTGTTTTGTTTTGTTTTGTTTTGAGACAGGGTTTCATTTTTTAGCCCTGGCTGGCCTGGAACTCACTATGTAGACCAGGATGGCCTTGAACTCACAGAGATCAGCCTGCCTCTGCCTCCCAAGTGTGGGGATTAAAAACATATATGCTACCATACCAGTCAAGGATCTTTATTTTTTATTAGTTGCTTTTAACTTGGATAACATCAATATTATTTCATTAAAGGTTACTTAAGCCAGAGTGCTAATGGCATAGGATCTAGTAGTCTCCAGAAGAAAGGCAAGGAGTAGATACTTTGGCATTAAAATTGGTGCCTGGCATGATTACCAGTGATTTCCTGGACAATATGACAGCTTGGAAAGTAAGTCACTCCATGGAAGAGGGTAAGCCTTTTTGTGTATGATCCAGACAGGGACCTTTCTGACTAGAACATGGGATGTCTAATTTGTGGTATCTTCCAGCTAGGCTACTGGGAAACTTGTACCCACTTTTGAGAATTAAAAGTTTAATATCAAACTAAAGGAACCATCAAATAAAATAGCTAAATCCTTAGAGATGATAAGAAGAGCAAGAATTGAGGCAGTAGAAATCCCTTGTAAGCATTATTAATTTGCTCCTTAATAATAGTAGATGTGAAAACATTACCATTGAAATCTAACTGATGACTTTATATCCATGCTCAGATGCCAAGGAGCTCAGAAAGTAACCGACTGTGACTAGTAATAATCAGATATATAAAGATTAGAAACGTATGTACATCTTAGGGTCAATTGTATTAAAATGAATTTTTCTGTATGAAACTGTATTTTAATAATGAAATGGAGATCTTTTTTAAATTTTAAAACCTCATTTAATTTTATGTCTTGTAGGGTTTATCCAGAGTACAATATTGTATAACTACATTAATTCAACTGTAAACCTAAAAATTTACAGCCAA